GAAATTCTGAACCTCGGAGAGGATTTTTATTTTTCATTTTAATTCCTGTATATTCTGTAGAAGGGGATACTTTTCCACCCCCCCATTTCGATATTAGGGAAAGTGGGGAGGTTCGATTTCGCGGGTCGCGAATCTGTTATCAGGGGGCATCAGGGGGTGGTTATCAGAACTCCCCCGCGTGGAAGCATTCGTTACACTCTCATGAATATCGGGAACGAAAATTCGAAATACCGGGAGATTCGCCCCGAGGGGGGTGGAATTTCCTGTCAGTCCATCCCAAAGGCGACAGATTGTACTATCACCCCCGAACGAATGAAATCCCCGGAAACGCAGCCCCGGTGGACGGATCTTCGCCGGGGTCGAAAATCATCCGAAAATTTGGCACGCTTCCGAGGAAAGGATTCCAACTTTAGAAAATCCCACCCCCGTCCTGTCTCGAGGTATCACGAAAATTCGTTCCGCCTCGATGGAAAAATTCCAAGTTTCAAAAACCGCCCCTTTCCACCCCCAAGGGTGGCTCTCAACTAATGATACGATTCATAACTCATGCCGAAGAATTTCCCGAAATTTTGCTCGACCCGATAAATACATAAAACAGTAATTCACGGCTGGGACGTCGAAGGGGTTGCTTGCACCCCTCGAAGGGGTCTCTTTGGACCGATTTTCGCGGATCGAGTTCGGCGATCGGATATTCGTGGAGCCATCGGGGGTTGATGGATGGGACGATGAAGTTCCGAGGGGAGCACGAGGGGGCATGGGAAAGAAAGGGGGCGAGAAAGCTTTCAAAGGAATGAGACGTGTGCTTCGCCGTTAAGAAGAAACGGGGGTGGATCCTCGCTGGGGCATCTCGGAAAAAATCGATCCCACCCCTGGAAACATCCCCTGCGATCTTCCATTCTGGGAATTCGGGGCCGGTCCAAAAGTCCCTGATATGAAAAAGCGCATCCATTTTGTCCTATCACCTGGAAATGAGATTTTGGAAAATTCACCCTTTCAAGGGTTTTTTCCCATTTTCGAGGGAGAAAATGGCGGCGGAGGAGGAACACGCGACTCGTCATGAATTCCGACCATGGGGATGGATTTTTCATTAGGAATCGGGAGACGTAAAGTTTCCACCCCCGTCGAGGGGGTGGGTATCGAAAAGGGGAGCGACAAGGGCGCTCGCCGTCAAGGCGGAAGGGAAATTTGCATAAGATAATGGAAATTTTACATAGTTCCCGCGGTAACAACCATATCGTTCCTTCTCACGTGGAACAACGGCGAAGCGCGACATTATGCCGTGGTCTTAAATATATATATATAACACGGTCGAAGCATCTACTAAATGCCACCCCTCGGGAACTTATATTTCGTGCCCCCCTTCTAAGGGGGTGAAAGCCCCTGCGCAGACATCTCAGGGGTGCCTAATGAATATTTAAGCGAAATTAAGCTCGCGTCGTCTTTAAACGGCCTGGTGAAAATCGGACGCTTTCTCGGGGGTTGTTTGCCCCACGACAAACAGGGTGGAACTGAGGGGGCCAAGTGCCTGGAGATGGAGATCCTGAAGGGTCGCACCGACTTCCGTGAATTCCTCTCCGCTTTTCCTTTTAGAAGGAAGAGTGCGATTTTTTTTTAAATTCTGTAACATTAAGGAAGCAGCCGGAGAAGAGAGAAGAGAAGGGGGTGGGAAGCCGGGGGTAATTTTTAAGATCATTAGATTTTATTAAATTAAGCCTGAGTGGAGGTACTCGGGGTTTGGGCGGACAAAGCGAGTTGGACGGAGGGGGTGGAAGAAAACGCGAAACGGTGGCATTAACAGGGTTTATGCGCATCCGGGGCAAATAATAAATATTTTTTAATTCACTTAGTTCTGGGGGTGGAGAGAGGGCGACGGGGGGGCAGGAATTTCAAAGGCACGTTGCGATTCTCTACCTCGCTTCGTCCTTCTCCCTGATGAAATCTGATTCCGCGGAATTTAATGAACAATATCGCCCTGAGGAGCAAATAAAGCGGGGAAAACGGGAAATCTGCAAAGTGGGGAAGCGGCCGCGCCAAAGAAAACGAGGAGGCACTCCAGACAAAGGGTTAAAGGGCTCGTATCAACCCGAAGTAAGGGCTGAAGTCAGCCGAGCTGGTAGTACTAGTTGAGATTAAGTCTGAGAATTTGCCTCCCACGCGAGGAGGAGAAATGAATCGGCTTATTTCGCTCTCCCAGAAATTATTCCCACGAAGGATAAGCGCCTAAATAGGGGAACGGAGTTGCGATTTCGAGTTTTGACAGCCGTGATGTTTCAATTAAAAGTGAATTTTTCAGCCGGCGGAGGGGTAGGTGGTTTGCTGGATTAAATTGATATTTTTTTTTCGCGCGGGGATAAATCGGGGAATAAATGAAATTCGCCGAGAGGAGAAAATAAAGGTGGAGGGATGATAAGGACGCGCGAATGTGGCGTCGGTTAATTTGTTTGGAGAAATTCGGGGAAGATTTTAACGGGGTGACTTTTTTTATTCCTTATTGTTAGAGGAATGTGTGGCTGGAGATACGTCCACCTCCGAGACACCTGAGGGGTGTTTCACCCTCTTTTCTGCCGGTGATAACGCGAGCCGCGATTACGGTGACGGAAATGCGATCAGCCGAGGGTGGTGGGACATTTCTAGGGGTTTGCCGAGTGGAATTGCTGGCCGGGAAATTGTCCTCGGTGGGACCGTAGGGGTTGCTTCCCCGGAGCCACCCCCGAGAAGCTGTTGATTCTCCGCAAGGGATGGAAGGGTCGCGGGGGTTCCGCGGCGGTTCAGAAATTATTGCGGTCCGGGCAAACAGGATTCCTTATATCGCATTTATTTGCGCCGGGGGATGAAAAATACACCCCCGTTGATTTTCCACGAGCCGGGGGCGGGATTAAAGCTCTCGGATCTGGCCGATGAAAGTCCACGTGGACGTCCGCTTCTTTATCACTTTCCCACCGCTGATAATACGAACGCACTGTACGAACCTCCCCATAAAAGCGGTGAATTATTTCCGAATTTCCTCTCGCCAAATTGGAAAGGAAAACCCCCGAAAGCCCCTAAAAATTGAACAGTCTCTCGGAAGGGAATTTTCCTACCCCCTAAGCACAGGGAAAATTCCGCTGGTTATCAGGACCCACAGATGTGTTATCGCTCACTCGTGAAACTGATTTCCGACCGGTAGGTGCATCCCTTGGAAACGTATCCATGATCACAGAGAAGCGTTCCATGGGGGTGATAATCGAGCGTGCCCCTATCGGAGTTCTCTACCCCCCGGAGAAATAAAACGAATGTTAATTTCCATGGGGGAGGTTTTGCCCAAAAGGGGTGATTAATCACACCCCCGGCAGATAGGAAAAGCGCGATAGGCGGAAGTAGGCGGGATCGATAAGACCAAGGGTTTCCACCCTCCACCCCATTGCAGGATATATCCCTTAATCCCGGGTCTTTAATCCCAACCCCTTCGCTTAATGCCCGAAAATGTTAATTCCACCCCTTCTGGTACCTGGTCGCGGTATTCCGTCGGTATTTCCTTTATGGACTGGAGAAGCCTGGTCTTCGATTTAAGGGATGCTACCCCAGATACCCCACATCCTACAGGATGCTGGGAATAATCGGGAGGAATCGAACTTGGAGTTTCTGGGAGGAGTTCGATGGGGCTCTTATGGTTTCCGAGTCCATGGTGGTTCGAAGGTCGGGGGTGGATCGAGACCTTTGGGTACTCCGAACCTCAACCCCCTCGACATTCCCCCATGGGGAGCGTCTCTCACGCTACTTGGACAGGGGAGAAACCCAAGTTGCGGAGTTCTCGGGCGCAGGGCTAAGTACTTCGAGTACCTTGAGGAAGGCCCTGAAGTTGGGCGACCATTTTGGAATTCCTCGGCGGGGGTGGTATTCGGGAATTATTAATTCGAGGGGAGCTGCGGTGGGCACTTGGAAAAGCCGGACGCGAAAAAGCTTTTTTCCACCCTCCAAGAGCCTCGAGTACACTCGCCGAGGAAAAGGAAAAATTGGGAAACAATGGAGGATTTTTCCGGCCACCGGGGGGTGTATTTCCAGCGGTAATGCACGCTTTACCTCGGCCTTACCTTCCGAGCAAGTGCGCATTCGGGAAACGAAATCAAACCGCGAGTCATTAATCGGTTCTGGCCGACAAACTCGGGTCGACTCGGTAATTAGCTGTCGGTGCAATTTTGCTCCTCCCTCGCCATTTTTCGACCCGAAAGGGGCTCTCAACTTTAACGATCCTACCTGGCTTCGCGCAAGAGCATGATTAATGGTCGGGCTTCTCGCATCTTTTTATTTTTCTCCTTTTTTTCCCCTTTATTTCTTTATTTTTCGCTTCCACGGTTCTGTTTTTTTTTTTCCCCGACGAGCGGTGAGTTGACTCGGCATTTTCGCGAAATTAGTCCGACGAGATCGGAAATGAATTTCGAGACGGGTCCACTTCGAGGGGCCGCTTCATAACCTCAAACTTTTTCCGCGCTCGAGCGTCGGGGACGCGAACCGGCTCTCTTCCGTTAATTAGTTGTAAGCCTTTGCACGGCGGTCCGGGAGCGTTAATTTCCCGGCGAGCGGGCAAAACGAGGAGGTCCGGAAAGTGGGAAAAGCTACCTCGTAACTACCGCGAAACCGGGGGAAAAAAGTGGGAGAAGAGCGGGCGCTATCTCCGCGGCCACGCCGGCACATATTTCTTTCGCGGCGCGGTCCGGGCTTATTAATATTTAGGGGGAGATAAATAACGGGGGAAATCGGGCTCCCCACCGGAAACGTCCTCATTAGCCAGGGACAAAATTCAGAGCTTCCCGCGTTCCCTGTGGAGGAACGGTTACCGGTGATCTCTCTTCTCGATGTCCCGCAAGCGCGGCGTCTCGGCAAGGGCGTCGCGGAAAATGGCGAGAAGGAATGGGACGGGTCATTCGGGGGGATGGGAAGAATATTAGGATTAATTGGCCCGGTGGATCTGGCGGTGAGATTTCCAGGATGACCGGGAGGGGAGCGAATAAATTAACGCTCACCTGTCCAGGGCGATGGCCACGAGATGCAAGATGGACGCCGTGCAGCAGAGGACGTCGCTGCTGGTCCACATGTCGCACAATTCCGGACCAAGAGCCCATTCGTGGGACACATCGTACACGGCTCCTGCCAACAATGCCCTACTGAAGCATCCGCCATTTGCGCACTTATCGTTAACCCGGCCGATAATGCCGATTGGAGCATTTACGGCGAGCCCGAACTCGAGGCCGACCAGGAAAATTCCCGCATCCGTTCACCGTCAAGCTCCCAGAATTGTCGTTGAAATCTCCGGAGGACAAGTTAATGAAATTAAGCAACCTGACTTGCAATTACACTTACCCAAGGGCATGACGAGGCAGGCGACCAGCAAATCGGCGACGGCCAAGGACAGGATCAAGTAATTCGCGACGCTCTGCAAATTTCGTTCCAGCAAGATGGCGGCGATCACGAAGACGTTCCCTGGAAAGGATCAAGAAAGAGGGGAGTTAATGACCATTTTACCGATGTCAGGTATTCCGTATAAAAAGTTTCTCAGTTGGGATACGAGAGACGGTAGGATTTTCCATCCTCTTTTCGCTCTTTCGCGGAGGCCAAGTCGCCTAGAGAAATTAATAATCGGCGGTATTGGTGGCGATCGCCTCGAAAAAGCGAGAAATCAGCGTCTTGGGGGTGGTTTCCCTCCCACCCTCTCCCCGCGGGGGTGAAAGTTGGCGCGCCCAACAAAGGGTTTTTGTTTAGGGATTTTCTGGGGGTGAACAGCTCTTTGTGTCGGCCGGGATGAGCCTTTGGCTGAGTCGGGGGGTTTCATACAACCCCCTATTGTGAGGGAAGCTATTCCCGCGATTATGGACCATCGTCGTTCCTCCCACCCACCCCCCGACTTCTCGGCATTGTCGGAGCAAGCGTTAATTTTCAGATGGACACTTTCTGTCGGGAAATTGCGGGGAAAGTGTCTTTCCACCACCCCCCTCCCCCCGTCTACCCGTTAATCCGATAAAACGCCCGCCGATGGCCCGTCGAAAAACGGCCGCCAACGTTTTTCCTCCCTTTTAACGGTTTTAATAATTAACGCCGATCTTTTCTCGTTAAACCCCTCGAGGTTCCGCAATTTTCCACCCCATCGGCGGGGAAGAGTTTTCGAAATGAACGCTTTACACGAATTCCTCGAGAAATGGGGGTGGAGCGTGGCGAGGGGCAGTGCATTTTCACCATCCCCCTTGTAAGTGTCTTTTTGGGTTTTGCACTTTCTACCCTTTCTGTTTCTCCCTTTGTTGCGAGGCAATAACCCCCCTCGGACGTCGAGGGACGTGCCAGCGATAGCGGGAGGGATGAGATAAATTTTCTAGGGGTAGATCGAGGGGGGCGTATCGCACGCAATTAGGCGATTCGTTTCCTCGCGAAAGGGTTGCGCGATTTCGCGGGGCCATTGGGGGGTATGGGGCACTTTTTACGCTCCCTTCTTTCGCCGTGGCCGATAATCGCGACAGACACTTAAGCTGATATCGCTGTAATTTTTGTTGAGGGAGATAAGAAACTCCGAAATTTTCGGGGGTAACTCCCCCTTGGAGTGGCTCTTTGAGTCCTGGGGGCGGGAATTCTCGGTTCTCCGAAATCGCGCTAAGAGCGAAAAAGAAACGAATTCACCCCCTGGGGAAAGGGTTGGGCGGATAAAGTCCGTTTAATCTTTGAAACGAATTCCGTGTTCGCATTTGTTTCGCGTCACGTGCGCCCGCCCGCTTGACGTATGCGACAACCCCCCCTTTTCAATATGGCGGCGCGTCGGGATCGTACGTCATGGAAACTGCGGAAGCCTGACGGAAAGACGACCCCCTGCGAAGGCTCGTATTGCTCCGGGCAGCTCCCTCTCTCTCTCCCACTCGCCCACCCCCGATCGCCCCCTCTCCCTCTCTCCCTCAAGCCCGATCGAGCCCCGATTGTCAGCTCCTGTCTGCGCGAGACATCCCATTACCCCTTGCGGCGAGACCGCTTCGGCTCCACCTCGATACTTCCCGCCGCGATTTCTCCGCGCCCCGTCGTCCTATTTTGCAAATTCCTGAGCGATTCGCAAGAACTACCGTGAAGGTTTCCCCGAACCACGTTTCGAACCCCGGTTACTCGGTGGAGTCTCGCTAATTGGGGCGGAAGGTTTTGTTCGGTCTACCGGTCACGTGGGCCGCGGCCATGTTGGAGAAACCATCCATGGGCGCCGCCCTAGGTTGGGCGTCGTTTATCTGGGAATGCTGCACCCTCCGTGTGTATGCACGCGGCCATAACCGTAACTCTGCCCGATTTACCGAGTGACGCCTAGTTATTGTGCAACACGCGGTTTCTTATCTCGGTAATATAAGGGAGTGAGCCCTTTGCTTGGTAAGAATCTTGGGGTAGGTCGTCCCGCCAGTCCGATATGCCGGCCCGACGTCTTCCCAGCATTTTAGAAAGCTATTTTTCATCTTTTTCATTTTTTTTTTCTTCCTACGAGCAAATACCCCGAATTCTCGGGCGGGCTTCCCTTTTTTATTTCGCTAGGGTCTCCCTTTTTTAATTCCACTTTTAAATTAAATTCTACGATACCTAAATGGGATATATATATATTCTGTTTCAGTGCATCTGAATTTTAAATACCATTCTTTTTTTTTTTTTAGCGGTTTCAGGGAACGAGGGCTGGGGGGATGGGAAGGATTGCGTAAAATGCGGTCTCTCGCATTGCAATAAGCAAGCCCCCTTCTCGAGGAATGTTGGGGTAGGTCGCTTTAATGATCCAACATGGCGACCCCGCGTGTCTTCCGTCTACGGGCTGACCCACCTGAAAAATGCCGCCCTCTCGTATAATCCTACAAGTGCCTCTTACCTTTTACGGCCGCCATTGTCAAAGCAGTTTCCACCCCTCACCCCCCCTTCCCAGTCGTCATACCTGTTCATTAAAACATTCCCAGCGTCGTGTTAATTCTTCCAGTCCGACACGCACCCCAAATGCCGATACACCCCCCCGACACATTCCACCCCTCTGGAGAAATAATGAAGAAAAGAAATATATTCGGACCTTAACAAATTCCGCCATTCATTAATTTTATTAATAACCGCATTACGATCGAGTTACCGAGTAACTGGCTAGGATGTTCCCGACCCGATTTCCCGTGGATGCAAGAGTTTCATTCAAGGGGTTGAAACTCATCGTCGGGGCAGCGAGGGGTTGAAAAGGGGTCGTAGAACAGGGGTACTTTGTTGCAAGGTTTGGCTTCCTTTTTTTCCCCCTTTCTCCCCTCCGTGTTTCTTATCTAGATAACGAGAAAGCGCGCTTCCACCCCCTCGGCAGGGGAGGAAGTTGGGGTAGGTCGTTGCAGTCGACGGCGACTGCGCAGATTTACTCGGTTAGCCCTCGGGGGTGCGCACCCCTCGTGTCCTTTTAAAGCACCTCGCGTAATAAAGCGTTTTACGGATCGGTCGGGCACTTTGTGCGAGTTATTATCATATCATAGGGTAGAGGATTGTTTACATACATTACCGGGGTTGTTTCTCCGCCCCACCCCCCAAAACGAAGAGTTCTTTTCATTTCCCGGGAAATGCACGCTCTTATCCTGGAAGGGTGATATGGAAAAATAGAGGGAGAATCGAAAAAGGGTTTTAAATTCGCCGCATTGACTTTTTGGGGTGGATGGTCGAGGTGGGGAAGCGGGTGGTGTCACTTTTCGAGATTAAAGAAAGATTCCACCCTCCACCCACCCACCCCCATTCCGACGTTGACAATAACGCGGAGACAGTAATGCGGTCGCATCTCGAGGTGGACGAGTGCAAAACCGGAAACGAAGAAACGAGAGTGACGTCAGTGGTTGCAAGGAGATGCAGAGCGTCTTCCGCCCACCCACCTCCCAACCCCCTGGGGGTTGTCGACCCCCGGCGTCTCGGCGTCCCGGAAATGCAGGAATGGCCATCTTTGCGCGGAGATCCTCGCGGTAGGGAAATTTAATTCCGCGAAACTCGAATTCCGCCTTTTCGAAAATCCACCGGGCACTCCGACGGTCAAAATTCGACTTTCGCATTTCGAACGAAAATTCGCATTTCGAGGGGGGAGTACACGAGACGACTCTTTTTCGAAAGCCTGAACCCCTGGACTGGGCAATTTCCCACGTGTCGAAAAGAGCTTTCGCAGGAGGACGCTTTCCTTTCCGGGGGGATTTTCGAAAATGACGTTTTCGGTCTTGGGAGCGATATCGATTCCCCGTTAGCGACTTTCCCGAAGAAGTTCCCGTATTCGGCGAGGAAGAGAAGCCGGGGTAAGTTGAACTTTTGACGTGTACTCTCACCGAGAATGCGGGGATATATTTCAAAGGCGGAAAATTCCGGGAAAATCCGCGAGGGGATCCTTAGCCGGAAATGCGGAACCTTATGCGTCATTTCAAGTGCATTATGCTCCGAGGAGATGTTCCCCGCAAACGGGGACGTTTCCTCGAGGGAGGATCTCGGTTACCGGGGATGCTGCGAGGATCTGAATCCCGATAAAAAAAGAGCGCCTCCGGGGTTGCTGGAATTTTTCGAAGATTTTTTCCTCGACCCTGAGAAAAATATAGAGATCTCGAATTCCCATCGAACCTCGGAAAGAATCACCTTGACGTGTCATTTAAAATAGAAAGGGGCCACTGTAATCATTGCGAGGATCTTTTCTAATCTCTTAGAAAAATATACGAAAATTTGAGAACAAGTCAAGGGTGAGTCCTTGCCATGGGAGAAAATTTCGGGAATTTCTTCGGAGTTTCTTTTTAATTTTTCAAGACATACTTAGACCTTGAAGATACTCTAAAAATCGTGGCAACCTTTTCAGAAAATGTTTCTGCCTTCCGGTAGCTCGAGGGTCCTCTCACCTTGAAGTTGTTCCGCTCGACGAGCAGAATCGAAACGAATATCGCGATAAAAAGAAACTAGGTACCGTAGAAATGAGTACCCACGTGTACACAAAGTGCGCGAAACACGTTCATTGCAAAAGCTCCGAGCACAATCGTCAGAATTTCCCCGGTTTTCGAAATCCGCGAAAGCGCGCTCGCGTTTACCGCGGCGCGGAAAAATCCGCGAACAAAGGGGGTTCCTTTTCCCCGGGGTAGCCGAGAGGAGGGGCCTCACCCCCGAAATAATATAAAAGCCCAAGGGATTTTTACATCCACTTTTAACCACCCGTTTCGGGTTGGAATCGCCTGGGGGTGGTATAAATGCTCCTAAATACGAGAATCCCACCCCTTTAGGACCGCAAAACTGTGATTCGAGGGTGGGGGTGGGTGACGTTGAAGGTTCCACCTCGAAGAAGGGGGATCCGGGGGAAAATCCCTCAGATAAGCCGGAAACCCACTCGAAAGTCAGCCCGGAATGGGGCTGGTACCCTGGAGGTACTTCGGACGCCATTTTGGAGACTTCAGACTCTAAGTCGAACTTCCCCGACTTCGACTTCGACCTCGACTTCGCGGACTTCGGGA